ACCCTGTCCTGGCATGGTCCGACGGCGACATCATTCGTCTTGTCGGCTCCAGTAAAGTTGTAGTAAGTTACAGGTCTTATAATTCAAGTTATCCTGCTGGTTGGAGAGTTTACACTACTTAGGATGTACGAAGCAGATTGCACATTTCGAAGAGCATCCTGAAAATAGATTTTTTTTTTCTTGTGTGTATAGTGAGAACCTGACAAACAAACCCCCACTTTTTTATTATACATTTGTTTGTGTGTATAGTGAAAACCTGACAAACAAAGCCCCACTTATTTTAACTATACATTTGTGTGTATAGTGAAAACCTGACAACAAACCCCCATTTTTTTTTTACTATACATTTGTTTGTGTGTATAGTGAGAACCTGACAAACAAACCTCCACTTATTTTTACTATACATGTGTGTGTATAGTGAAAACCTGACAAACAAAGCCCCACTTATTTTAACTATAAATTTGTGTGTATAGTGAAAACCTGACAAACAAAGCCCCACTTATTTTAACTATAAATTTGTGTGTATAGTGAAAACCTGACAACCCCCATTTTTTTACTATACATTTGTTTGTGTGTACAGTGAGAACCTAACAAACAAACCTCCACTTATTTTTACTATACATTTGTGACTACAGCTACAGATACACAGGACCGTGACGTTTGTATACATCCACGAGAGTGTAACAGGACTCTACGGTCTCTGCGGCACTGAAGACAGCTCCTCCGACTATGTTGATCGTTCAGGAGTGACTTCCACACCTAACGCGTTCTACGATTCTTGGAAGGTAAAGTGCACCTGGATTTTGGAAACGTGAATGAAAAAAGAAAAAATGAGGAAGTATGTACGTTTGTGTGTGTGTGTGTGTGTGTGTGTGTGTGTGTGTGTGTGTGTGTGTGTGTGTGTGTGTGTGTGTGTGTGTGTGTGTGTGTGTTGTGGTGTGTGTGGTGTGTGTGTTGTGTGTGTGTGCGTGCGTGTGTGTGTGTGTGTGTGTGTGTGTGTGTGTGTGTGTGTGTGTGTGTGTGTGTGTGTGTGTGGTGTGTGTGTGTGTGTGTGTGTGTGTGTGTGTGTGTGTGTGTGTGGTGTGAGAGAGAGAGAGAGAGAGAGAGAGAGAGAGAGAGAGAGAGAGAGAGAGAGAGAGAGAGAGAGAGAGAGAGAGAGAGAGAGGGGTGAGAAAGACAGTAAGTGCTAAAGAGAGTTAATGAGGAAGAGAGACAGTGAGAAAGAGTGAGAAAGATAATGAGTGAGACAGAGAGTGAGTGAGAAAAAGAAACGAGAGAGAGAGAGAGAGAGAGCATTTTCAAAACTGATCTCTGAAGCGGGCTGCTTCGACGCTCCCAGTGGGTGATATTTTTGAAAAGCGTATTTTTGTCTTGCTTTCTTTCTGCTATGCATTATTATCACACATAGCATTTACCTTTGCGTGCTGATTCAGTAATTCACATGCAATCTTTTGCTCGTGTCTTTTGTTAAATAGTCAACTCATTTGTTCATTTTGTTTAAATTTTTATTTTTATTTTCATGCATCATAATTTAGTGTGGCATGTATACATTAATTTTTGTATTTACATTCATACAGACACAAACACAACTGGATTCTTGCATGTCTCGTCGAAAGAAGAGGGCAACTACTGCGGTAAGTAAAGGGTATGAGAGAGAGACAGAAAGAAAGAGAAATCAGAAATATATTCCCTGCAGCTGTCACTTTCAATCAACGTCTCATTGATAGGATTTTCTCCCGATAGATGAATAAGTATGCAAATCACGTGCCTTTTTCTCATAGCTAATAGCTAGGAAAATAATGATAATAAAATGTAAATCCAAATTCAAAAAATGGCGGTTTTGTTGGCAGTTGATAATTTGGAGCCATCAACTGATCATATAAATTCATGATAGCCATAAAAAGCCACAAAACTTATTAAGACTTATCTAAGGGAGAGAAACCATGCATGAGGGCTGCTACTTGTTGTATTATGTTAGTCTTTGTTAGTTAAAAGACATAAAAAATTACTCGCCAAGATTTATCGACAGACACAACTACAGTGAAGTCGCTATCAGCACGAGCAAAGTATACATTGAACTTAACATTCATTTTACAGAATATTTTGCATCAAAAAATATTTCAGTCCTTGAAACCAAGAACCCTCGTATGCAACTGAAGCCTTTGACACAATTGCGACTCTGTAATTAAGGGAATGTTAATAAAGAGAGAGAGAGAGAGAGATTACGGCGAATAGACGAAAACTAAAAAGCTGCAATATTGTTATTGCAATTGCTAACCATACCATGATCTTGAAACTCATCGTTCTGAAAGGATAGGACAGGCTTCGTGTGTAGGAACATACATTATCAATCGGATTTATTAATAATCTAACACTATCATAAATTATATGACAGGTACATATCGGGTCTGAATTTACGTGACATTTATTTATAGCTTATGAAAGAGCGCGTTTTTGTTGGCTTCTGATAACTTTTATTTGTTCTGGATTTAGTGTATCAAACGCACGTGATTCGTAATCGTAGAGACCGTTACAAGAGAAACGCAACGTGGCTTCCAAAACTTCCATACGTGATCATGTTTCATTGGTATATATTTCACATTATACCATACCTGGCGCAGTCCACATGTGTTTTATATTGTGTACATCTCCAGACCCCAAGTAATGCTGAAGAACTGTACTGACACTTACTAAAATGCATCACTACATTGTACTACCATTGCCTCTTATTGCCGAGATCAGACATAACCATATGAAGAATTGTTTGACAGGACGACAAGTGCACTGTCGACGCCACCAAAAGGAGTGAATTCAACGCGAGCTGCACCGTCGTCGTCCTTTCCACGACGTACCAGAACTATTCGGTCCCCGACGTGTCTACCGAGAATCTCATCAGTAAGTTTGTTCTAAGAAATATTATTGCTCTTATTGTCTCGAACGTTATTGGCAGTGTTACCGTCATAAGGGTAATACTATCATTAGTTTTATTATAATTATGTTGCTATTGGTAATTAGTAATAATGATATTATTTATAATAGTCATTATTCTTTCCATAAGTCATCATTACGACTGATATATATATATATATATATATATATATATATATATATATATATATATATATATATATATATATATATATATATAATATTATATTATCTTTATACAATGGCTTCTCATTACAATTGTTACTTACCTTTTGTGCTCCATATTATCTTATGCAGTAATGCTGTCGGCCTTGCAATTACTTTTACTGTAGTAATGTAAATCAAAATCATTATCATTATTATTGTTTTCCTTAATAATTTGCTTTAATCTTGCCATGCAACTGAGCGATAATCTGAACAATCTCTTATTTTCAAGATGCTTGTGCGTTCGATCTGTGCATGGTGTACATGAACACGAGCGATGATCAAGCTGTTTTAAATTACTTGAACAGCGATGTCGTTGAAACAGTGCAAGCCTTCATATTAACGAGTAAGTCATTCACACTGTTTCAAGATTGGTGAATCTGGTGAATAAATATCGTCAACTGTCACCATTTTAAGGCGTCAGCAGGTGCTTAAATAAACACAGTAAACGAAACACGCCTTTTTTTCAGCTATAAACACAACTACAACATCGACTGTCTCCCCCACGACCACCTTGGAATCCACGACAAGTGCGCACGTGACATCAGGTTCGTATTTTTCTCAAAACTTTATTTTCATTCTTATATTTTCTAATATAATATATGCATATATATATATATATATATATATATATATATAATATATATATATATACATATATATATATATATATATATATATATATATATATATATATGTATATATATGTATGTATGTAGATATATATACATATATGTAGATCTGTACATATATATGGATATATTTACATACATACACATATGTGTATATATATATATATATATTAATATATATATATATATATATATATATATATATATATATATATATATGCATGTGTGTGTTATTATCATAATATATGTATATAATATATGTCATATGTGTGTGTGTGCACATGTATATATATATATATATATATATATATATATATATATATATATATATATTATATATATATAATATATATATATATATATATATATATGTGTGTGTGTGTGTGTGTGTGTGTGTGTGTGTGTGTGTGTGTGTGTGTGTGTGTGTGTGTGTATGTATGTACATATGCAAGTATATACGTGTGTGTGTGTGTACATAGATTTGCAAAAACACGCAAGCACTGAAAAGCAACACCCTCTCTTGGTATCCAATGGTGTACCTACTACAAACCACTTAGCAGTTATTAAAACAGTTGCTACTACATTCTTAGGTCTTTCCGCCACTTCTACCTATGCAATCACAGACCATTCAGCAACTGCTGTTACCTTTTCTTAACAACCAATATAACCTCATGTCCATCACCAACCACCACATCCCCAGTCCCATCACCAACTATTAACAGTTACTGGATCTAAGGCCCCATCGACAGTTATAATTTCCGCTTTTAACTACATTCTCAATACAGTCAACAACTGAAGGAACGGACGCCCCCTATCACAACAGCAGTTACGAATACTCTACTTCCATCAAAATTCAAAAAATCCCTTAACATCAACAAAGCTACTACAACTACATCACCACTCCCATCAGCTAAAGAAGCAACTACCACTTCTACAACGGTGTCATCAACTGCAGAATCACCACCACCAAAACATTAGTCCCTACTACAAAATCAGTTCCAGAAACGAATTTCTGGAACTGACGTTTCACTCACCACAAGTGTTTCGCTTACCACAACTTTAGTTCCTAAAACAAGTACTGCTAGAGTTAACACAGTTACATTTACTGAAAGAACTACTATTTCATGTACCATGGCCTTTAATTCCTGAAGCAAATATTGTTTTGCGAACATGTACAATTTTAGTTACCACAACTTCAGTTCTTGAAACAAATAATAATCCAGTAACCATAACTTCATGTCTGAAACAAGTATCATCAGTTTCTGAAACTATCACTTGAATTATAAATACTAAATTATAAATTTAACAACAAAGATTCCTTAAACATCTGCTACCTCAGTTAACACGATTTCAGATCCTGAAAGAAGTAATACTTCTATCCAAATAACAGAACCTTTACAATTAAAGTAAGTGGAACTACTAATTCAGGCACAACATCAGTTAAAATTATTAATATTTCAGGTACAACGACTTCAATTCCTGAAACAAGTGCTACTTCATTTACCACAACTTCAGTTCCTGAGACGAGTAGTATTTCAGGTACGTCAATTCAAATAATTAAATTGTTACTCCTCTTTCCACAACAGTTCATGAAACAAGACCTAATGCCTATAACACACCTTCACTTCTTGAAACAAGTACTACTTCAGGTACAACTTTATCTCAAATAATGACAACTTCATTTCCCATATCACTTCCTAAAACAACTGCTTCAGGCACTACAACTCCACTTCCTGAAACATCTGCTTCTGGTACCACGACTCCACTTCCTGAAACAACTACTGCTTCAGTTACAACAACTCCAATTCCTAAAACAACTACTGCTTCTGGTATTACAACTCAACTTCCTGAAACAACTACTGCTTCAGAAACTACAACTCAACTTCCTGAAACAACTACTGCTTCAGGAACTACAACTCCACTTCCTGAAACAACTACTGCTTCAGAAACTATAACTCCACTTTCTAAAACAACCACTGCTTCTGGTACTACAACTCAACTTCCTGAAACAACTACTGCTTCAAGAACTACAACTCCACTACCTGAAACAACTGCTTCAGTTACAACTCCACTTCTTGAAACAACTACTGCTTCTGGAATTACAACTACACTTCCGGAAAAAACAACTGCTTCAGGAACTACAACCCCACTTCCTGAAACAACTACTGCTTCACTTACTACAACTCCACTTCCAGAAACAACTACTGCTTCAGTTACAACTCCACTTCCTGAAACCACTACTGCTTCAGGTACAACTCCACTTCCTGAAACAACTACTGCTTCAGTTACAACTCCACTTCCTGAAACAACTACTGCTTCAGGAACTACAACTCCACTTCCTGAAACAACTACTGCTTCAGGACTACAGCTCCACTTCCTGAAACAACTACTGCTTCTATTACAACTCAACTTCCTGAAACAACTACTGCTTCAGGGACTACAACTCCAGTTCCTGAAACAACTACTGCTTCAGGAACGACAAATACACTTCCTGAAACAACTACTTCATTAACTACAACTCCACTTCCTGAAACAACTGCTTCTGGAACTACAACTCCACTTCCTGAAACAAGTACTGCTTCAGGAACTACAACTACACTTCCTGAAACAAGTACTGCTTCTGGAACTACAACTGAACTTCCTGAAACAACTACTGCTTCAGTTACTACTAAACTTCCTGAAACAACTACTGCTTCAGGGACTACAACTCCAGTTCGTGAAACAACTACTGCTTCAGGGACATCTCCACTTCCTGAAACAACTACTGCTTCAGAAACTACAACTCCACTTCCTGAAACAACTACTGCTTCTGGTACTACAACTCTTCTTCCTGAAACAACTGCTTCAGAAACTACAACTCCACTTCCTGAAACAACTACTGCTTCAGAAACTACAACTCCACTTCCTGAAACAACTACTGCTTCACATACTACAACTCCACTTCCTGAAACAACTACTGCTTCAGTTACAACAACCCTACTTCATGAAACAACTACTGATTCAGGAACTACAACTCCACTTCCTGAAACAACTACTGATTCAGGAACTACAACTCCACTTCTGGAAACAACTACTGCTTCAGGAACTGCAACTCCACTTCCTGAAACAACTACTGCTTCAGGTACTACGACTCCACTTCCTGAAACAACTACTACTTCAGGAACTACAACTCCACTTCCTGAAACAACTACTGCTTCAGGAAACTACAACTCCACTTCCTGAAACAACTACTGCTACAGTTACAACTCAACTTCCTGAAACAACTACTGCTTCAGTTACTACAACTCCACTTCCTGAAACAACTACTGGTTCTGGAACTACAACTCCACTTCCTGAAACAACTACTGCCTCAGGAACTACAACTTCACTTCCTAAAACAACTACTGCTTCGGTTTCAACTCAACTTCCTGAAACAACTACTGTTTCAGTAACAACAACTCTACTTCCTGAAACAACTACTGCATCTGGTACTACAACTCCACTTTCTGAAACAACAACTGCTTCAGGAACTACAACTTCACTTCCTGATATAACTACTGCTTTAGTTACAACTCCACTTCCTGAAACAACTACTGTTTCAGTTACAACAACTCTACTTCCTGAAACAACTACTGCATCTGGTACTACAACTCCACTTTCGGAAACAACTACTGCATCTGGTACTACAACTCCACTTTCGGAAACAACTACTGCTTCAGGAACTACAACTTCACTTCCTGAAACAACTACTGCTTCAGATACAACTCCACTTCCTGAAACAACTACTGTTTCAGTTACAACTCTACTTCCTGAAACAACTACTGCATCTGGTACTACAACTCCACTTTCTGAAACAACTACTGCTTCAGGAACTACAGCTCCACTTCCGGAAACAACTACTGCTTCAGGAACTACAACACATCCTGAAACAACTACTGCTTCTGATACTACAACTCCACTTCCTGAAACAACTACTGATTCAGGGACTACAGCTCCACCTCCTGAAACAACTACTGCTTCTATTACAACTCAACTTCCTGAAACAACTACTGCTTCAGGGGCTACAACTGCAGTTCCTGAAACAACTACTGCTCCAGGAACGACAACTACACTTCCTGAAACAACTACTTCATTAACTACAACTCCACTTCCTGAAAAAACTACTGCTTCTGGAACTACAACTCCACTTCCTGAAACAAGTGCTGCTTCAGGAACTACAACTACACTTCCTGAAACAACTACTGCTTCTGGAACTACAACTCAACTTCCTGAAACAACTACTGCTTCTGGAACTACAACTCCACTTCCTGAAACAACTACTGCTTCAGATACTACTTCCTGAAACAACTACTCTACAGGACGACAACTCCACTTCCTGAAACAACTACTGCTTCAGGAACTACAACTCCACTTCCTGAAACCACTACTGCTTCAGAAACTACAACTCCACTTCCTGAAACAACTACTGCTTCTGGTACTACAACTCTTCTTCCTGAAACAACTACTGCTTCAGAAACTACAACTCCACTTCCTGAAACAACTACTGCTTCAGAAACTACAACTCCACTTCCTGAAACAACTACTGCTTCACATACTACAACTCCACTTCCTGAAACAACTACTACTTCAGTTACAACAACTCCACTTTCTGAAGCAACTACGGCTTCAGGAACAACTCCACTTCCTGAAACAACTACTGCTTCAGTTACAACAACCCTACTTCATGAAACAACTACTGCTTCAGGAACTACAACTCCACTTCCTGAAACAACTACTGCTTCAGGAACTACAACTCCACTTCCTGAAACAACTACTGCTTCAGGTACTACAACTCCACTTCCTGAAACAACTAGTGCTTCAAGTACTACGACTCAACTTCCTGAAACAACTACTGCTTTAGTTACAACTACACTTCCTGAAACAACTACTGCTTCAGGAACTACAACTCCACTTCCTGAAATAACTACTGCTTCAGGAACTACAACTCCACTTCCTGAAACAACTACTGCTTCAGGAACGACAACTCCACTTCCCGAAACAACTACTGCTTCAGGAACTACAACTCCACTTCCTGAAACAACTACTGATTCTGGAACTACAACTCCACTTCCTGAAACAACTACTGCTTCAGGAACTACAACTCCACTTCCTAAAACAACTACTGCTTCAGTAACTACGACTCAACTTCCAGAAACAACTACTGCTTCAGGAACTACAACTCCACTTCCTGAAACAATTACTGCTTCTGGAACTACAACTCAACTTCCTGAAACAACTACTGTTTCTGGAACTACAACTCCACTTCCTGAAACAACTACTGCTTCAGTTACAACTCACTTCCTGAAACAACTACTGCTTCAGTTACTACAACTCCACTTCCTGAAACAACTACTGCTTCAGGAACTACAACTCCACTTCCTGAAACAACTACTGCTTCTGGAACTACAACTCCCTGAAACAACTACTAACTACAACTCCACTTCCTGAAACAACTACTGCTTCAGTTACAACTCTACTTCCTGAAACAACTACTGCTTCTGGAATTACAACTTCACTTCCTGAAACAACTTTCAGTTACAACAACTCCACTTCCTGAAACAAGTGCTGCTTCTAGAACTACGACTCCACTTCCTGAAACAACTACTGCTTCAGTTACAACTCCACTTCCTGAAACAAGTACTGCTTCTGGAACTACGACTCAACTTCCTGAAACAACTACTGCTTCAGTTACAACTCCACTTCCTGAAACAACTACTGCTTCAGTTACTATAACTCCACTTCCTGAAACAACTACTGCTTCAGTTACTACAACTCCACTTCCTGAAACAACTACTGCTTCAGTTATTACAACTTCACTTCCTGAAACAACTACTGCTTCAGTTAGTACAACTCAACTTCCTGAAACAACTACTGCTTCAGGTACTACGACTCAGCTTCCTGAAGCAACTACTGCTTCAGGTACTACGACTCAGCTTCCTGAAACAACTACTGCTTCTGGAACTACAACTCCACTTCCTGAAACAACTACTGCTTCTGGAATTACAACTCCACTAAACAACTACTGCTTCAGGAACTAAAACTCACTTCCTGAAACAAACTACTGCTTCAGGTACTACGACTCACTTCCTGAAACAACTACTGCTTCAGTACGACTCAACTTCCTGAAACAACTACTGCTTCAGTTACAACTCCACTTCCTGAAACAACTACTGTTTCTTCACTTCCTGAAACAACTACTGCTTCAGGAACAACAACTCCACTTCCTGAAACAACTACTACTTCAGGAACTACAACTCACTTCCTGAAACAATTACTGCTTCTGGAACTACTACTCCACTTCCTGAAACAACTACTGCTTCAGGAACTACAACTCCACTTCCTAAAACAACTACTGCTTCAACTACAACTCCAAAAACAACTACTACTTCAGGGACTACAACTTCACTTCCTGAAACAACTACTGCTTCAGTTACAACTCTACTTCCTGAAACAACTACTACTTCTGGAACTACAACTTCAGTTCTTGAAAAAACTACTGCTCAGTTACAACAACTCCACTTCCTGAAACAAGTACTGCTTCTGGAACTACGACTCAACTTCCTGAAACAACTACTGATTCAGGAAAAACAACTCCACTTCCTGAAACAAGTACTGCTTCAGTTACAACAACTCAACTTCCTGAAACAACTACTGCTTCAGGAACGACAACTTCACTTCCTGAAACAACTAACTACAACTCCTTCCTGAAACAAGTACTGCTTCAGTTACTACAACTCCACTTCCTGAAACAACTACTGCTTCAGGTACTACACTCCACTTCCTGAAACAACTACTGCTTCAGGAACTACAACTCCACTTCCTGAAACAACTACTGCTTCTGGAACTACAACTCCACTTCCTGAAACAACTACTGCTTCAGGAACTACAACTCCACTTCCTGAAACAACTACTGCTTCTGGAACAACAACTCCACTTCCTGAAACAACTACTGATTCAGGAACAACAACTCCACTTCCTGAAACAAGTACTGCTTCAGTTACAACAACTCCACTTCCTGAAACAACTACTGCTTCAGTTACAACTCCACTTCCTTCTACTGCTTCAGTTACTACAACTCCACTTCCTGAAACAACTACTGCTTCTGGAACTACAACTCACTTCCTGAAACAACTACTGCTTCTGGAACTACAACTCCACTTCCTGAAACAACTACTGATTCAGGAACTACAACTCCACTTCCTGAAACCAGTACTGCTTCAGTTACAACAACTCCACTTCCTGAAACAACTACTGCTTCAGGTAGTACAACTCAACTTCCTGAAACAACTACTGCTTCAGGACTACACTCACTTCCTGAAGCAACTACTGCTCAGGACTACACTCACTTCCTGAAACAACTAAACTGAAACTACTCCAAACTCCACTTCCTGAAACAACTACTGCTTCAGGAACTAAAACTCACTTCCTGAAAACAACTACTTTCAACTACGACTCAACTTCCTGAAACAACTACTGCTTCAGGTACTACGACTCAACTTCCTGAAACAACTACTGCTTCAGTTACAACTCCACTTCCTGAAACAACTACTGTTTCTTCACTTCCTGAAACAACTACTGCTTCAGGAACAACAACTCCACTTCCTGAAACAACTACTACTTCAGGAACTACAACTCACCTTCCTGAAACAATTACTGCTTCTGGAACTACTACTCCACTTCCTGAAACAACTACTGCTTCAGGAACTACAACTCCACTTCCTAAAACAACTACTGCTTCTGGAACTACAACTCACTTCCTAAAACAACTACTACTTCAGGGACTACAACTTCACTTCCTGAAACAACTACTGCTTCAGTTACAACTCTACTTCCTGAAACAACTACTACTTCTGGAACTACAACTTCAGTTCTTGAAAAAACTACTGCCTCAGTTACAACAACTTCCTGAAACAACTACTGCTTCTGGAACTACGACTCAACTTCCTGAAACAACTACTGATTCAGGAAAAACAACTCCACTTCCTGAAACAAGTACTGCTTCAGTTACAACAACTCAAATTCCTGAAACAACTACTGCTTCAGGAACGACAACTCACTTCCTGAAACAACTACTGCTTCTGGAACTACAACTTCACTTCCTGAAACAAGTACTGCTTCAGTTACTACAACTCCACTTCCTGAAACAACTACTGCTTCAGGAACTACAACTCCACTTCCTGAAACAACTACGCTTCAGGTACTACGACTCAACTTCCTGAAACAACTACTGCTTCAGGAACTACAACTCCACTTCCTGAAACTACTGCTTCTGGAACTACAACTCCACTTCTTGAAACAACTACTGCTTCAGGAACTACAACTCCACTTCCTGAAACAACTACTGCTTCAGGAACAACAACTCCACTTCCTGAAACAACTACTGATTCAGGAACTACAACTCCACTTCCTGAAACAACTACTGCTTCAGTTACAACAACTCCACTCCTGAAACAACTACTGCTTCAGTTTACAACTCCACTTCCTGAAACAACTACTGCTTCAGTTACTAACAACTCCACTTCCTGAAACAACTACTGCTTCTGGAACTACAACTTCACTTCCTGAAACAACTACTGAGGAACTACAACTCCACTTCCTGAAACAACTACTGATTCAGGAACTACAACTCCACTTCCTGAAAACTGCTTCAGTTACAACAACTCCACTTCCTGAAACAACTACTGCTTCAGGAACGACAACTTCACTTCCTGAAACAACTACTGCTTCTGGAACTACAACTTCACTTCCTGAAACAACTACTGCTTCTGGTACTACAACTCCACTTCCTGAAACAACTACTGCTTCTGGGACTACAACTCCACTTCCTGAAACAACTACTGCTTCAACTACACTCAACTTCCTGAAACAACTACTGCTTCAGGAACTACAACTCCACTTCCTGAAACAACTACTGCTTCTGAACTAAACTCCAACTTCCTGAAAACAACTACTGCTTCGGTACAACAACTCCACTTCCTGAAACAACTACTGCTTCTGGAACTACAACTCCACTTCCTGAAACAACTACTGCTTCAGGAACTACAACTCCACTTCTGAAAACAATACTGCTTCTGAACTACAACTTCACATCCTGAAACAACTACTACTTCAGGAACAACTCCACTTCCTGAAACAACTACTACTTCAGGAACTACAACTCCACTTCCTGAAACAATTACTGCCTCTGGAACTACAACTCCACTTCCTGAAACAACTACTGCTTCAGGAACTACAACTCCACTTCCTGAAACAACTACTGCTTCTGGAACTACAACTCCACTTCTGAAACAACTGAAACTACAACTCCACTTCCTGAAACAACTACTGCTTCAGTTACAACTCTACTTCCTGAAACAACTACTGCTTCTGGAACTACAAACTTCACTTCTTGAAACAACTACTGCTCAGTTACAAACAACTCCACTTCCTGAAACAACTACTGCTTCAGTTACTACAACTCCACTTCCTGAAACAACTACTGCTTCAGGAACTACAACTTCACTTCCTGAAACAACTACTGCTTCAGTTACTACAACTCAACTTCCTGAAACACTACTGCTTCAGGTACTACGACTCAGCTTCCTGAAACAACTACTGCTTCAGACTACAATTCCAAAAATGCTTTGGAACTACAACTCCACTTCCTGAAACAACTACTGCTTTGGAACTTCAACTCACTTCCTAAAACAACTACTGCTCCAACACTGAAACAAAAACTACCTGAAACAACTACTGCTTCAGGTACTACAACTTCACTTCCTGAAACAACTACTGCTTCAAGAACTACAACTCCACTTCCTGAAACAACTGCTCCTTCAGTTACTACAACTCCACTTCCTGAAACAACTACTGCTTCAGGAACTACACCTCCCACTTCCTGAAACAACAACTGAACTACAACTCCACTTCCTGAAAACAAACTACTGCTTCAGGTTACTACGACTCAACTTCTGAAAAACTACTGAAGGAACTACAACTCCACTTCCTGAAACAACTACTGCTTCTGGAACTACAACTCCACTTCCTGAAACAACTACTGCTTCTGGTACTACGACTCAACTTCCTGAAAAAACTACTGCTTCAGACTACAACTCAACTTCCTGAAACAAACTACTGCTTCAGTTACAACTCCACTTCCTGAAACAACTTTACTTGTTCTGGAACTACAACTCCACTTCCTGAAAAACAAACTACTTTTTCTTCACTTTCCTGAAAAAACAAACTTAACTGCTCAGGACAACAAACTTCCACTATCCTGAAACAACTTTACTTTCAGAAAAAACTACAAATCCCACTTTTGCTGAAAAAAAAACCAAATGTACTGCTTCTGGAACTACAACTTCCCAACTTCCTGAAAAAAAACAAAACTATTGCTTCAAGAACTTTTACAAAACCCAACTTTTCCTGAAAACAAAAAACTTACTTGGCTTCAGGGGAAAAAACTACCCACCACGCAACTCACTTTCCTTGAACAAAAAACAGACTTTTTTAAACTTAACTTCAGGGGACTTTTTTTAACAAACTTTTCCAAACTTCCTGAAACCAAACTAACTTGCTTCAGGTTTTTTAACCCCAAACCCCTCCTTACTTTCCTGGAAAAACAAAAAACTAACTTTTACTTCTGGAAAAAACTTACCAAANGAGGCTCCTACTACTACTGACTACCACTGAGGCCCCAACAACCACTGAGGCTCCTACTACCACTGAGGCCCCAACAACCACTGAGGCTCCTACTACCACTGAGGCCCCAACAACCACTGAGGCTCCTACTACCACTGAGGCCCCAAACAACCACTGAGGCTCCTACTACCACTGAGGCCCCAACAACCACTGAGGCTCCTACTACCACTGAAGCCCAACAACCACTGAGGCTCCTACTACCACTGAGGCCCCAAAACACGCTCCTACTACACTGAGGCCCAACACCACTGAGGCTCCTACTACCACTGAGGTTCCTACTACCACTGAAGCCCCAACAACCACTGAGGCCACTGAAACCACTGAGGCTTGAGGCCCACTGAGGCCCCAACAACCACTGAAGACTTCCTACTCCAACAACCACTGAGGCTCCTACTACTACTGAGGCCCCAACAACCACTGAGGCTCCTACTACCACTGAGCCCAACAACCACTGAGGCTCCTACTACACTGAGGCCCCAACAACCACTGACACACCACTGAGGCTCCTACTACTCCCCAACAACCACTGAGGCTCCAACAACCACTGAGGCTCCAACAACCACTGAGGCTCCAACTACACTGAGGCTCCAACAACCACTGAGGCTCCTACTACCACTGAGGCCCCAACAACCACTGAGGCTCCTACTACCACTGAGGCCCCAACAACCACTGAGGCTCCTACTACCACTCCCCAACAACCACTGAGGCTCCTACTACCACTGGAGCCCCAACAACCACTGAGGCTCCTACTACCACTGAGGCCCAACCACTGAGGCTCCTACTACCACTGAGCCCAACAACCACTGAGGCTCCTACTACCACTGAAGCCCCAACAACCACTGAAGCTCCTACTACCACGCCCCCAACAACCACTGCTCCACTACCACTGGCTGAGGCCTACTACCACTGAGGCCCCAACAACCACTGAGGCCCAAACAACCACTGAAGCTCCTACTACTACTGAGGCTCCAACAACCACTGAAGCTCCTACTACCACTGAGGCCCCAACAACCACTGAGGCTCCTACTACCACTGAGGCTCCAACAACCACTGAGGCCCCTACTACCACTGAGGCTCCTACTACCACTGAGGCCCCAACAACCACTGAGGCTCCTACTACCACTGAAGCCCCAACAACCACTGAAGCTCCAACTACCACTGAGGCCCCAACAACCACTGAAGCTCCTACTACCACTGAGGCTCCAACAACCACTGAGGCTCCTACTACCACCACTGAGCCCCAACCACTGAGGCTCCTACTACACTGAGGCTGAGGCCCAACAACCACTGAGGCTCCTACTACCACTGAGCCCAAAACCACTGAAGCTCCTACTACACTGAGGCTCCAACAACCACTGAGGCTCCTACTACCACTGAGGCCCCAACAACCACTCAGGCTCCTACTACCACTGAGGCCCCAACAACCACTGAGGTGAAGCCCCAACAACCACTGAGGCCTACTACCACTGAGGCCCCAACAACCACTGGCTCCTACTACCACTGAGGCTCCCCAACCACTGAGGAACCACTGAGGCCTACTACCACTGAGGCCCCAACAACCACTGAGGCTCCCTACTACCACTGAGGACTGAGGCCCCAACAACCACTGACTAACAACCACTGAGGCCCAACAACCACTGAAGCTCCTACAACTACTAGCTCCTACTTGAGGCCCCAACAACCACTGAGGCTCCTACTACCACTGAGGCCCCAACAACCACTGAGGCCCCAACAACCACTGAGGCTCTACCACTGAGCCCAACAACCACTGAGGCTCCTACTACCACTGAGGCCCCAACAACCACTGAGGCTCCGACATCCACTGAGGCTCCTACTACCACTCATGCCCCAACAACCCACTGAAACAACCACTGAGGCTCCAACAACCACTGAGGCCCAACACTGAGGACTGAGGCTCCAACAACCTCCTACTACCACTGAGGCCCCAACAACCACTGAGGCTCCTACTACCACTGAGGCCCCAAACAACCCACTGAGGCTCCTACTACCACTCAGGCCCCCAACAACCACTGAAGCTCCAACTACCACTGAGGCCCCAACAACCACTGAAGCTCCTACTACCACTGAGGCCCCAACAACCACTGAGGCTCCTACTACCACTGAGGCCTCCACTAGGCTCCTACTGCACTGAGGCCCCAACAACCACTGAGGCTCCAACAACCACTGAGGCCCCTACTACCACTGAAGCCCCAACAACCACTGAAGCTGCCACAACTACTGCAGCTCCTACTACCACTGAGGCTCCAACAACCACTGAAGCTCCTACTACCACTGAGGCCCCAACAACCAGTGAGGCTGCCACAACTACTGCAATGCCAACAACCACTGAAGCCCCTACTACTACTGAGGCCCAAACAACTACTGAAGGTGCCACAATTTAATATTTAATACTATATTTTTTTATTTTTATCATTATTATTTTATTATAAAAAATATTTTTTATTTTATTCATTTATCTTTTATTATTATTATTATTATTATTATTATTATTATTATTATTATTTGCATGGTAGGTTCCATAATATCACTCTCTTCAAATTATTATCTGTTTATGCAATGAAACTTAACAGTGGGTTCAGTGAATTGTTGAGGATGTCTTTTATATATATATATATATATATATATATATATATATATATATATATACTTTTTTTTTCTAAAAGTAAACCATTTGATTGTAGGCACAAGAGTCCAACGCTGAAGGACGAGCTTGAGAAAAACTATCTAGCGCCTCATTCCACACAGGATCAACAATACAACAGCACGAATGGCTGTTGAAGACCTGTCTGGGAACTTTCCTGTCTCGCTTTCATTTTTTTTCCTCTCAACTCTCCCTCTCATCTTCCTGCCTCCTCCCACTATAAACAGATGAGCACTAGGATCATAAACTACAGAAATTGGTCATCATAGTTTTTGGGCTGCCATGGTGGTAAAATTGTATAGGTTATCATTCTCGTTATAGAGAAAGCCTTTTCCTTGCCATTTACACACGCCCGATTTAAGTATCGATATATATATATATATATATATATATATATATATATATATATATATATATATATATATATATATATATATGAAAGTTTTATTTAACTTGATTCATTTTACAAGATTTCTCTTAAAATTATAATGTTCACTGATACTGAAGCCACATGTTCAATCTTTAACTATATACAACCATATACAAAATAAAAGCTTATTTAGAATATAGAAATATATTCCTCTTATTATTGTTTTAAGATATGAGCATGGCTAGGCTTTTCTGATGATAAAATAAGCTCAAAACACACGGATTTCAGGCTGGTTTTCAGGCTCATGTGGGCGGAGTTTAAACGATGACGTAAAGTAGCGAACGCGGCGCCAAAACCCGGGACGCCAATCCCAGGTGTTGGAAAAAATCTAAGGAGTTCGTAGTTTCTTTGGTCTAAGAGAGACGGTTTAAACCATCCCGGTCCATTGGGTCCGCTGTAAAGGACACGTTTTCAGACCTTACACAGAAACCTAGACATCAGGCGCATTTTATAAATCAAGACTTATTCTAATACTATACCATATTGTGTCGAAGTGGTTTTCCCGTTGCGTAGAAAAACCGTGAACGCAAAAGCTAACCACAGCTTGTTAAAGAAGAGGCAGCCGTCGTACGAGCGCGTAGTTGACGGAGGGCGAAAGGAGCATATGCTTATAAATAAATTTTTACACTGCAAATATATATTTATGCATATATTTATGACAGGATATATGCGCACACACACACTCATGTGTGTATGTGCGTTTAGGTATATATAAATATGTATTAAAATATCATACAAATACGTGTTTAAAATTTACGTCACAAACTGTTACGAGTAATTAACTTTCGTTCCCTTGGAAAGAAAAATATACACTTTTATCTAAAGAGATTCACAGTCATCACATCTTTTCAACATGGCTTATATATATACATACATATATATATGTGTGTGTGTGTATGCGTGGGTATGTATATAAATTATATAGTAAATTACTTATTAATTAAGAAATATAAGTATAATCTAGCTTACGAGTCTAACTGAATTTTTCCGAATTCATGTTACCCTGTCTGAACAGAACCTTAATTAAAGATAGCACTGCCACCACTACCTCTTTGTAAGAGTAGAAACTCTTAGTAACCATTCACCTAGTAATAAAAGGAATGATATAAACACAGTTAGTTAAGTTACTCCAATTCACTAACAAATATCCAAATCAAATATATGTAATCAAGTAAAATATACACACTGAGATATTACACCTGCTCGTAGAGTCGCTACAGTCACAAGAATCACAAATTAAGCACAAGCCCTTACCGAAAGACGTGTTTGAGTCCATCGCAGTCAATTAGCGATCCGCCTCCCCTCGTGTCTAGGTGATATCTAACCCCCCTGAGGCACTCCGCCTCAGGCTGGTCCCGCAATTTCACTAGAGTTCGTTGCTTTCCATGTCGATTCCTTTACAGTACGACATATATGTTTATATATAAATTCACGTATCAGTGTGTGTTTCTATGTATGTATACATACACACACACACACACACATATATATGTGTGTGTGTGTGTATCTATCTAAGTATGTATATATACATATATATGTTAGTATGTACATATGAATGTATGAAAAATATTTAATTGTATTCATATATGATGACATATATGAGTGTGTTTATATGGAAAACGTATTGATAAAAGTTCAACTTTTTCTTCTCTCGTAGCATCAACATCAACTCAAACAACCATTATCTCCTCGACCACATCTTCAAATGAAGCCCAAACAACCACTGTAGCTCCTACTAAAACTGAGGCCCCAACAACCACTGAAACTGCCACAACCACTGTAGCTCCTACTACCACTGAGGCCCCAACAACCACTGAAACAGCCACAACAACTGTAGCTCCTACTACCACTGAGGCCCCAACAACCACTGAAACTGCCACAACCACTGTACCTCCTACAACCACTGAGGCTCCTACTACCACTGAGGCCCCAACAACCACTGAAACTGCCACAACCACTGCACCTCCTACAACCTCTGAGGCTCCAACAACCACGGAGGTCCCAACAACCACTGAAGCTCCTACTACCACTGAGGCTCCAACAACTGAGGCTCCAACAACTACTGAGGCCCCAACAACCACTGAGGCTCCTACTACCACCAGAAGGCTCTACCACTGAAATCCATACCAACACTGAGGCCC